TAGGTACCTAATGTATATAAATTTTATAGGAAATTAAGAAGGATAACCATTTATCTAAAGACACTGAAACTACTGAATATGAAATCGAAAAAGACTACAATTTAAATCAAACACATTCAAATGAGGTAAGAACTATAGGAGTTCTAAATATTATTAAATATAATTCTTGTATTTTAAATGTACTTATATACTAAATGTATTTTTTATTTACTAATGTACTAAATGTACATAAAAAATACATGAATATTATATTATATTATCTTATTCATTAAATTAAATTAAGGCTGTTGACTTTTAAAGATTTTTATATATTTTTTTTCATAAATTAAAGATTGAAGACATAAACATGCTTCATTCCCACAATAATGATATTAGTTCCTTTGTGAATAAAAATTTGTCTGATGCTGATAAACATCTGGTAAGCTTAGTTCTAATATTTTATAAATTGATAATATAATTTTATTTCACCTTGTAAAGATGTAAGAATAGGTATATTACTTGTATTATTACTATATTTAATTTTCAATATCATAATCCTTCTTACCACTAATATAATAATTAAATAATTTGCATCTTTACTACAGGTTGGATATTAGTTTTAATAATATTATAATTTTAAAACAAAATTGGTTACACCTATTTTTTAGTTGTACTATGACTATCTAGGTATATATAATATATTTATATATCTAATGATTTTTTTAGGTGCTTACAAATTTGTGGGTACCACCTTCCAACTATATATTTCCATTAACTACAAAAAATATGAAACGTGGGCTACGTTTCCAATACAAATGGCTTAATGAATTCCAATGGTTAGCATATTCTGAAGGAAAACATGGTGCGTTTTGCAAATATTGTGTTCTGTTTGCTAAAGTTGGGGGAAAAAATGGTCAGCCTTTGGGATATTTTGTTAAAACAGCATTTGATACATGGAAAAAAGCTAAACAAGTAATTTATTACTCTTACTTACCTATTGTTAATTATTATAAGTATAATAAATAATAATTTACTTTTATCTTTCAAAGTACGAGTACTTATTGATAGGTATCTACTAATGTCTAATTGAATGATTATTTTAGGAATTTCGTGAACATTCAGAAACTATATATCACGTATCATCCACTTTAGATGCTGATCATTTTTTAAAAGTGTTTAAAAAAACTGAACCATCAATAATTAATCAATTGGATACTGATAGGTATGTTGTAAGAACTAAGAAATTATATGTTTTATACTTTTATATTAATTAAAATTATTTGAATCAGATTAAAACAAATACAAGCTAATAGGAAACGTCTCATTCCTATAATTGAGTGTATTC